TCTATCATGTGAGGTGTACAAGAAGAATGTGAAAATAAAAATAAGTTTAAACTTCAAAAAAAAAGAGAAGACAAGAAGACATGTTCCCGCCGGAGGGAGAAAGTGGAAAGTGGGGGTAGGAAGAAGGCGCCACCAGGTGAGGGAAGGGCACCTGCTCTCTGATTTCAGTCCCTTCAAATGGTTCAAATTTATTTTGTCGTTTCATTTATTTTACTTATGGTGCAAATGTGTATGCATATGTGTGTGCACATGTGTGAATGGGCACAGAGTCACATGTTTGAGAATGTAGAGACCGGAGGTCAACCTCAGGTGTCCTTCCTCAGGCACCATCTATTCTTTTCCCCCATCGAGGCATTTTATTTATACATATGTTTTACATCCCTAGAAAAAACATCTGAGGATTTTTCCTCTGGTATGTTTTCGTCTTCTTGATGGTCCATGATGCTGGCTGAGGTTGTCAGTACAATGAAACCAAGCTGACAAGATGGGAGCAGATTACTCTGCCACCTTTCTGGGTCTTTGAGCTGCACATCAAATCTAGGGATGATCACACCACACCACACTTGTTTAACCTGCCTTGAGGTTCACAACAATTTCCTCAGCTCTATAATCATCAATGATTTCAAATTCGCCAATGTAACCATGCTCCATGATCACAGTCAGGAAGCAGATGATGGCTTTGGAGCGTGACCGGATGAGGACCCTGGTGTTTGCCTCTGTTCTCTGCACTGTTGCTGCTCTTCAGAGCACCAGCCAGGACATTCATGTGCACCATGATGGTGGCACAGAAAGACGGTGGAAAGAGCTACTTTTCTTTCTTTTTTTTTTTGAGATAGTGCCTGGAGCTTGCCCTGCCTAGGGTAGTCTGACCTGCTGAAGAGCCCCAGGGATCCTCCTGCCTCTGCCTGTTCAGTGCTGGGATTACAAGCCTATAACTATGCCTGGGGATCAAACTCAGGTCTTCAAGCTTGCACACAGCAAGCACTTTACCAACTAAGCTATCACATCAGCCCTCTTTGGGATTTTAAAATAACATGTATTATCCTGAAAATAACTTTTGTAAAACATTTTGTCTTAAAATGCAAAGCAGTGAGCTGAACTCCATGGGAAGAGAGAAGTTTATGCAGCAAATAAGGGGAGCTGTGAACACCCCTCAGCATTATTCTTAAGTTTTACCTGGCGACCTAAGCACCATGATGTGCATATAGGCTTTAAATTTTTTGATTTATTTTTATTTTATGTATATGAGTGATTTGTCTTTGTGTATGTAAGTGCATCTGTGTTGTGTAATGTTCATGGAGGCCAGAAGAGGGTGTCAAATCCCCCGGAGTTACAGATGGTTGTTAGCCTCCATGTAGGTGATGGGAACCAAACCCAGGTCCTCCACAAGAGCAGTCAGTGCTCTTAATTGCTAAGCCATCTCTCCAGCCCTGGATATAGGGTTTAATTTAAAGCTTACTATAGTCCTACATAGATGTTATGAGAACCAGCCCAATGTCCTCCTGCTTGGGAGCTGGGATGGAACTCTCAGGTCTGATTGCTAGACATCCTAGGCTGCCTCCTGCCACTGACACAGAAACTGATAAGCTCAAAGTCATTTGTTCTTCATCTGCTGCACTACTCACGAAAACCACTGATACTCCCCAGGAGCCCAGATCAGATTGTCACAGGGACACAAAGTCAGAGACTGGTGTCTCCAGCCACATGGGCTGAGGCTTGGGAAACATGAATTTCAGTGAGCTACTGTAATTTGTCCATCTGTCCATCTGCCCATCCATTCTCTAGCCACTGATCGATACCCACATGCCAGCCTCTGTCTGATGTTGAAGACAGAGACAATGAGATGCCCATAGCCACCAGTAGGACCCTTCACACCTCCAAGCATGCAAGCTTGGGCTGTTCAGAAATATCCCAACCCCCTTGCCACTCAGGAGCCCACAGTGGTACAAAATGGTACACTATCATCCCTGTCCATGAGCAGGTCTGCCTACTTTCCCAGGACTCTCTTATTTGTAGGGAGTAGAGCTGGGACTTGGAAATCCAGCCTGCCCTTTAGGTTCAGGGATGATGGTATTTCGTCTAGACTTCAGCCTAGGATGGCATGAAGGGGCTAACTGAAGCCCCAGGAGTTACTAGGGCAGGAGTGGGACTATGTCCAAGGCTCCAGTATGTAGACACAGTGACTCAGCAAGCACGGAGCATGGTGTCCTCTTCAGGGAGACCCCACATGACTCTCAGGGGACCCAGGAATACAGCAAGGGCTCAGTGAAGTGTCTCATGAACAAATGAATGAATGTGACAGGAGAAGAAGGCTGCACCCCATAGGAAATGGGGGATGACTTCCAGCCTGTCACTAGGTTTTGAGTGCCTGGACCAATAACCCATACACTAGTCCTTGCCTATGATGTGCAAGTTGGAATCTAAGGGCCAGCAAGATGGCTCACTGGGTTAAGGTGCTTGCTGCCAAAGCTGAGAACCTGGCTTCCAGCCCCAGGACCTACATGGTAGAAGGACAGAACTGACTCCTGAAGGCTGTCCCCTGACCTTCATATGTACACAGAGCAAGCATGTGCACATGCATGCAGATATGCAAACACACAAATAAAAATAAATAAAATGTAAGTTCCAATGTATTAATGGCACCAATGGCATTAGCGTGCTTCCCCCCACAGTACTCTGGGAAGAACTTTCTCGCTCTTAGTCATCCTGGAGAAGGAATTAGTATTGCCTCCAGCATGTAGCCAAAAGTACTCAGGCTAGGGGTTAAGATGCAACAGGAGGTCAACTGGGGACCATTTGGGGACAGCACCATCACATCAGGGAGGGGCTTTGCTTGAACTCTGTGGATGATAAACTAGAGGACAGGGAGGCGAAGGTCACCAGGAGGAAGACTGAGACAAGGACCCAAAGGTTAGATGTGGTGACACAGCCCTGCAATCCCAGCACTTAAGGCCATGAGTTCAAGGCCAACCTGGGCTCCATCATGAGGTCCTATCTCAACAACATTACAACAACAAACCCAATCTAGCTGACATCCAACTCAGGGTCTGCCCTGGGACCTGCAAAGGCACATTCCTGAAACTCTAGCACTAGGAAGGTGGAGGCAGGAAGATCCTGATTTGGTGGTCAGCCTAGACTACATGGTAAAACCTGCCTCAAAAAAAACAAAAAAGAAAATCCAGCAAAATAAGCCATGAAAATCCTGTAGGCCACCGGGGAAGGAGTCAGTTACTCTATCTCCTCTGAAGGGCGCTACCGGAATTTTTCCTGGGCAAGGGTGAGAAGGAGGAGGTGAGGGGAGCCACTCAGCTTAGCAGAACAGCCCTGGTGACATGTTGCCCCAGCCCTTCAGCCAGCACCAAGCAGCACTAGGCCTGCACACTCAGGGCTCAGGACCTCATACCTCTGCTCCTGCCTTCTGTACACCCTTCCCAGCATCCTCTTCTGACCAGTATCCCAGCCAGTTTTCAAAGCCCAGTACCCTGGAGCTGTGCTCCTGATTTATCAGCCCTGTGTAGAGTTAGCACCTCCCTTTGGCTTTGAACCCGAGGTCTTCCCAGAGCAATCAGGAGCACTAAGCCTTGCAGTACTGGCCTCTGAAGCATCTGCTGTGTATGGCAGAATGGTCTGGAAGCAGAGAGGTCTACATAGAGATCTCTAGTGGGGTTTGGAATGCTGAAACTCTGAGCCCTCAAGGGTAAGGACCAAGTCTTTCTATGATTGCTGGAATGTCAGATGCAGGTGAGGCCTTTAAAAAATGATGTGGATGGGGCTGAAGAGATGGCTCAGCAGTTAAGAGCACTGGTTATTCTTGGAGAGGCCCTGGGTTAGGTTCCCAGCACCCACATGGCAGCTAACAGCTGCTGTCTATAACTCCAGTTGCAGGGGATCCATGCCCCTTCTGGTCTCTGTGGGCATTGTATGCACATGGTGCATTTACATACATGCAGGCAAACCACTCATACACATAAAATAGAAATAAATAAAAAACATTTTTAAATGATGTGGAAACTAATGGAGCCTGCATACATCCCCCAAGCCTGACCAGCGGTCTGCACTGAGGAGGGGTACTAAGAGAGTAGTGGCGTGTTCGACCCCAGAAGAGGATCCTGGGCAACAGGGCAGAGAGCCCAAAGGGCAAAGGCCTTTGAGCCCTGTTTGATCCCCAGTATCAAAGTGTAGGTAGGGCAATCACTCAGCAGCCAGAAGCTGGGGATAGGCAGCTGTGACCAGGAGGTGCTGAGCATACCATATAAGGCTGGGTCTCTGTAGTGACTCAAAGCTTGAGTGCTGGGGAGGGAGGGGAGCATTGGTGGATAGCCAAGAGGTTTGTAGATTTGTGGTTGACCAATGCTAAGCACCGGGCAGACCTTAAGATGCCTTTGACCACAACTGCCTGTGAGCAGTGTGCTAAGCTGTGCTTTTCAACCTTTTTTTGCAGAGTAATCTTTTTTCCCATGAAACCCTACACCGCACCTTAAATGCACAACAGAACTGCTGGAGAAGGATTCCCAGGTTGGGGCCTGTCAGGCTGGCCTGCTTCTTTCGGACTGTCTCTCTCCCCCATCCCTCCGTCTGTGAGGGTCTTTAGGGAGGCCAGGCTGGGTTGGTCCTTTGGGAAGCATCCATCCTAGGCCTGGGCCTTCTGAGAACCCTGAAGAGGCTGGAACAAGTCCCCCAGACAGGGAGGAGTAGGGAGAGCTCCTCCTAGCAAGTGGAGCTCAATGCAGACCTGGGGGTGGGAAAACACTAGGGCAGCCACTATTGAGCATAGGGGCAGCTAGGTAGAAGGCCTGTGCTACCTGGAGATCTGGCAGGTATAGGCTGCACAGTGGGAAAGTCTGACCTTTTAGATATTCTGATCTTTGGGTTCTCATGCTGACCAGGGGCAAAAGCTGGGTTGTAGCGGAGGAAGACAGGGTACCCTGATGATGGTCTCAGTGAGGACAAGGACAGAGAAGTGGTATAAGACCCCACACCGCAAGTCTGAACTCCCTTACCTGGTAAGTGGTGCTGGGGACTCTGTAGAGAGGCTATGTCCACAATTCTAGAAGGCACATCCAAGTTCACCTGTGGTGATGGCAATGGCAGAAGGGCTGGCCCCTGCAGGCTTGATCCTGTCCAGTATGTGTCCCCCTGTGGTGGGAGACAGAGACAGTAGTGTTGTGACTATCCAGTGGAGTTGATGGCATTGCCTGCCTCCCTGTGCCTTAGGTTCCTCCTTCCTGTCTTCAGTGTTCACAGAAGGCAGTGCCAGGAGACCCCGGGAGCCTGGGATCTGCATGCGGATTGGGGACCTGCCACCAGGTCCTGGCTGAAGTAGGTGGGAACAATTCTAAGACCCAGATTTAAACAAGTGAGTGTGTGCACACGAGAGTACCAGAGTAAATTACAAAAACATGTCTCCCACTGTGGAGAGCAAGGCGCCCTTTGAAGTGGAGAGGAGGCAAGTGTGCCCAGTTTGCCTGGATGTAAAACATAACTTCAGATGTGTGAATGAGTGGAAGTGTCGGGAGGCTGAGCCTCTTAGAGAAAAAGCCCTTCCTCATGTGAAAACACATTCTTGGGATGCTCAGACAAGACAGACCCATGGTCTCCTGTTACCAGTGAGGAAACTGAAACTTAGAGAAGGGCAGTGACTTAGCTAAAGTCACCCAGAAAATGGGTAGAGCAAAGTCTAAACCCTGGGTCTCTCTTAATGCACAGCCCATACTCTCTTCAAGGAAGGCCCCTCCTTTGTAGTAGTCAGACTTGCAGCACAGCTTCGGTAGGGCTCTCCTCGCCTACAGTCTGGCAGGTGTGGACCTACTTCTGCCCCACCATGGGCCACGGTAAAGAATCACATTCTGGCTCCATCCAAGCCCAGGCAAGGAGTAAAGGTCATGCCCAATAGTCAGGAGCATGTGAGGTGGGTGGACCTTGGCCACATGCAGGGACAACCTATTTCCAGAAGTGGGACCCTGGGTAAGTCAAGTGTCTTCTCAGAGCATCAGTCTCTTCATCAGTAAACAAGATGGATAACAGCATCTCCCCCAAAGGTTGCTGGGAGTTAAAATGCCTCATGGGTCTCAAAGCCCACAGGAGAACATCTGACATGGAGAAACTGCTTGATAAATGTAGACAGGTGAGAGGAATGTGTGTGTGTCGGGGGGCGGGAGTTACACATGGAAAGGAGATGGAACATGGTACTGAGAACCACCTTGAGTCCTGTCAAGTGTTTAGGCACACAGTAACTCTGAGCTTTTCCAGTGGTTCCTCCGTCTTCCTCCCAAAGCTGTCATGACCCCCATGTGGCTTGTCTGGCCCTCCCTCTGGGCCAACGCCCGTCTGCCAGCCATATCTCCTACCCCAGTCACCAAGCATTGCCTTTCATGAGCCAGTGAAATTCAAAATGTTGTTAGTGCTCTGCAAGCTGGTGGGTCCTGTGGTACCAGAAGGCAAACAGAGCTGAGAACTGAAGAAAGACTTGGCGGCACATGGGGTGGGCAGTCCCAGCTTTCTCAAAAGGGTATGGTGAAGGAATAAACAACTCAGGAGTGAGGAACTGAGGGACACTGTCTGCAGCAGGGTGAGCCACAGAGCGTCTGGCAGGCTCCCCACTATACCTATCCCTGCATCACCGGGTCCATTCCAGGTCTGTTTCTCAGCCCCTCCAGCATTTCCCCTCCTCTCTGTGTCCCCCACACACTTAAAGAAACTAATCTAGGGAACCCCTGCCTATACCTATCTCCCCTAGTCCACACCCATCAAACCAGCTGGGAGGCACAGATCACAACAAGGTGGAGACCTAGAAGGGGGTCGACTTGCAGAAGGAGGTGACTTGACAGTAGTGAGACCTCAGGGACAAGCAGGCAGGATTTTATGAGGCTTGAACCCACCCTAGCCTTAGATTTTCTCCATCCGCTTCTGTAGTCTCTCCCAGCAGCTCCGAGGCCTACTGCTGGAAAACTGACAGATGGAGAGAACCAGGAAGTCCCACTCTTCCCAGTCTCTCAGTAATGCCCAGAGGCAGGAAGGCTTCCTGGAGGAGGTGACAGCAGTGTGGGAGTAGGCAGGGTGCTTTGGGCAGAGGTGTGGGCAGGGAAAGGTATGAGATACCCAAGTGCAGGGGAGGACCAAACAGATGGGAAAGTCATGTGATCAGTGTATAGTCAGCATGTGATCAGTGTGCCATTTAATCTAATCGTTGTCATTCCGCTTCATGGGTGAGAAACTGAGGCTCAAAGACATTAGCTTGGCAGACACAGCTGTGATGCAGATTGCATTCGAACCCAGATTTGGTGACTGCAGGATGGTGCCACCAAACCTGTTCTAAGTAAACTGTGACTAGAGTAATACAGGTGTCACCCATGAGTGTGCACAAGGGCACAGAGCAGCAAGGACCAGAGTGAAGTTTCTGACCGCAAGAGGACCAACTGGAGAGGACATGGCCCAGCAGTACTTGGGGCTAGGGTGTGACAGTCACAGGCTTAAGTTACCCCACAGCCCCCCAAGAAGTCATCACTGAGGGCTGTGAGCCGGGCCTGTTCTCACAGGTTCTCACTGACCCTCACTAGCCCTGGCTGCATTGCAGGCCCCTGAACCCCTCACTCCCTAAAACCAGGCCCTACTGCTGCTCAGCCTCACACTGTCCTCAGGTCAGATCCTCCACTATCCCATAGGTGGCCTATCCAGCCTGGGAAATCAGTCCTGCAGATGGAGCCTGATATATGCCACACCCTGCTGTCCCATGTAGGAACATTCACAAATGCTGAGGAACCGGAAGGGGTTCAGCGGAGTGCTCAGACCTGCATTCCCATTCCTGTCTTTGCAACCGCATTTGCGGGGCCAGGGCAGGCAGAGCCCCTCTCTGAGCTTGTGGAAACAGCTCTGCAAAGGTGGCTCTGAGGAGGAGTGAAGGCACACCGTGAAGGGCTATGATCCCCAGTGCAGAAGTGAGTGCAGGTCTGAATTCCCAGTTTGCCTTGACTGAGAATCCAGCTAAGCCTTATATAAACTCCTCTCTTACTCCTCAACCCCAGTTTCCCCTTATATAAAACTGAGAGTTGGGCTAGGATATATCTCGGTGATAGACCACTTGCCTTGCATGCACAGGGACCTGGGTTCCATCCTAAGCACAATTAAAAAATAAAACCAGAATCATTCAATACATGAGGCACTCTGCTTCTAGATGTCTTATTTTTATCATTACATGCTGACCAGCTCCTCCTTGGAATAATTTGTTAGAGGCCAGAGGCCCTTCCTATAGCAGGCAACTGACTAAATGGTCCAGGGCAGGAAGACACAGAGGACAGCAGAAAGTTGTGTATGTCTGAGTTGCCGGCCAGGAAGGAGGGGTGTCACCCTGGGAGGGAAGGGAAACATGGGTTGGAGAGAGGGAGGAAAAAAGGGAGGGGTAGAGGGAAAGAGAGAAGGAGGAAGGGAAGGAGGGAGGGAAGGAGGGGAGGCGAAAGGGGAGGCTGGTCATGCTGTTGGAAGCAGAGGGAAACTGGACAGAGAGGACCCTTTCCTTAAGTGCACAGGGCCTGGTTCTGAACTCAACACCTGGGGGGCCTGGAGGAGCAAGAATCTGCATTTGCTTGGAAAGCATTAATTGAACACCTGCTGTATGATGAGGCTTCAGAGACTTCCAAGGAGCCCAGAATCCCAGGGAAAAGAAAACAACCCAGATGTGGGAATGAAGGAGGGTTAAGAATCACCTGACTGAGTTCAGAGGACAAAGGGCCCAGGAGGGCTCCTTCAAAAAAAGGGCAGATGTGAACATCTGGGGATTAGAGGAGGGTGCTATGACACGGACCAGGGTGAGAAAGGCATGCAGGTCCCTAAGTGTGGGATGGGCATTCAAGAGCATGTGCCAAGGCAATCAGCTGGCACAGATAGGAGATGACACGGGCAGAGAAGGAAGGAAGAAAGTGAAGGCAAAAGCAGAGGCTGAAGTCCTCAAATGCCAGGCTGAGGATGCTGGGCCATAGCCACAGGCAATGGGGAAACCGCTGGAGGCAGAAGAGCAGAGGTGTGCTTCAGACAAGGAGCCCAGGTTGGTACGTTGGAAACAGGATAAGAGGGTGGAGGGAAGGGAGGGCCAGTGGAGGGAGGGTGTGGATTAAGAGATGATGGAAGATAGGGGCTGTGGAAGGGCACTAGGACAAGCCAGGGTAGGGCAGAGATGTGGGAAGACAGTGAGCCTTGAAGTTCACATCCAAATCTGTCTGTCGCTGCACCAGCTATGTGACCTCGGACAAGTCATTTCACTTCTCTGGGCCTCAGTTTCCTCTCCTACAAAGTAGGAAAGATAAATCCACCTTGTAGGGCTATCAAGTTCAACCAGACAATCATACCAAGCACTTTGAATGCAGTGAGTGAGTGCTAGGTGCTGAATGCTGAGTGTTGGGTGATGTGCTACTTCTTTTAATCCCAGCATGCTTTCCCTATTGCACTGAAGGACACTGAAGCCCAACATCAAACAGCCAGTGTGGGTCAGCCTCACCAGGCCTCACATCCCAGGAGAGGCCAGTTATGAGCAAATAAACTGTGATCATTCAGAAAAGAAGTCTGGTTTTAAAATATTATTAAAGAGAAAGACTGTTGCAAGACATCTGCCCTGCATGTTTATTTAACTCCAGCTAATAAGTAAAATGAGTTAAGTTAATGAAAAAAAACCTTTGGGAAGGATCCATATCACCTAATGGTAGTCCATAAACATCAACATGAAAATTTAAAATACAAGAACGAATTGCGTAGCTGGCAGCGGGGGCGCTGTGGAGAGCAGCCATCCATTCTAGCAGGTTCTCCTCGCTCGTGGGGTCTTCAGGAAGTCATAAAGGAAGGCGTTATTTCCAATTGTTTACTCACTGAGGATGCTAGGTATTGAATTTAAATCGTCTTCCCTTCCTAATTAGCACAAACCAAATTAGAATCCAAATACGGCAGAACTGTAGAGGTCCTTAGAGGCCTCTGTGCACAGATTTCTTTGTTTTACAGACCTCAGGAACCAGGGGAGACAGAGAAGGGGATAAGCCCACCTAAGATCCCATAGGCAGGGTGGGGTATGGGCAGGGTTCAGGAAAGCCACAGGGCCAGGTCACTGAATCCAGTCCTAAAGGGCTTGTTGGGTGGGGTGTGTGTCTCAGCCCAGG